TATATATACAGTGTATACACGATATCTTTATATATATAAAGCAACTATATAATACTATATATACTATATTATGTATACACTATATACTATATTTCTGAATGGTCAGCAACTGGGATGATCTCTGAATAGTGGTTTTGCTGGCTAGTGACTGGTTTGCATCCCCTATACAATCACTGGGACATCTGGGAATGTGGGCCTCACTTGAACACTGTACTATACATGTTGGCAAACTTCGAAAAACATCAAAGCTATTTCACTAATGTTGGAATAGTAAACCATCCCCCAATTTTACCGTTTCTGTGGGTGGTATAAACCCTCAAAATATGGGTGGTTTATAAATTGCTATACTACCATTCCAATCCGTGTTGTGCCATTCTACCACCATTATAAACCCACTATAATTCCATAATCCTATGTTTCCCATGATATTCCCATTATATCACAATTATACCACTGTTCTTACCACCTTCAAGTTCTTCATCTTTTCCCAGACCACGGGATCGGGCAGTTCGAGCGTGGCCGGTCGCGTGCTCAAGCAACGCGTTGCAGTTCGATGAAGGGAAGCGCGGTGGTTTCGGAGTGAATGAAGGGAACGAACCGCGGATGTCAACAACTTAAAATATAGTCATCCCCAAAGTGGAAAAGTAAATCCCTACTAATTTGCTGATGATTTACTTTTCCACCTATTTGGTGATGACTATAAATTTGCATGTGTTCCAATTCACCAACACTACAAAACAGTGCTACCTGTCAATTTTTTGACCCAACATGATTTTGATGAGTATGGCTCATGCTCAACATGGTCAACAAAAAGTCTGGTGACTTGGATTCATTTTTTCACCTGGAAATCTACTCTTAGGGACCTGGACATGTTTGTTAGGCTGGAACTTGCTGGAATGATGATCACTTGGGTATGGGTCAAAAGTTGGTAGCCCAATAATTGGATGGTTAATATTCAAAATAGACTAACATCTGTGGTCCCAATTGTCTTTAATTTTGACCCATACCCATTTGTGATAGTAAAAGCGAATAAAAGCATTTTCCAGACCATATCAGACCATCATGTTTGCAGTGTCAAGATAAATCTTAGGAAACATTGGCATGATAGGGGTGATGGGGGTGCAGCCTATCTGTGATTGGAGCGGGTGCAGTGCGTGTGATCGAAGTGTCAGTATACAACATGAGAACGACATGATCTGACATACCTGTGACAGGAAGCTTACAGTAAGCTCCTGTTTCCGCCTGTTTTTCTTGGGTCACTTGGTACAAGCTCTAGATATTTGCGTTTGACTTGCATCAACTCAAAGTATCTATAGCACCGGGACAGGAAACCATCGCATCACAGTCTGGTGGCTCAATGTTGCCACCAAAGCTGAGCAGAAAATGGATCTGGTGCGTTTTTCAGCCACACCTTTGATACTGGGGTTGATACACCATGATACTGAAAACATGATCCTGAAATAAATAAATATATATATATATATTGATATATTGATAAAAATATATACATATATGATACTTATCAGTATTTTCAACATCATGATACTTTTCAATCCCAAATACATGATCAAAGGGAAAGATCGGACAGCAATTTTCAGGCTTTGCGCGCAGATCACGGGCAACAAAAATGACCGTAGCAAAGGGGGAAGCAGAGCTGACAGCGGCACGGGCGAGCGAATAAGATGTCCTCTAGAAGCAGCTGATTGTTTGGCTGTTTCTTGGCAAAGTTAGGACAAACATCAAGAATTCCCAAACATCGTATCATTGTTTGGGATAAACAAATAAACATCAAGAATGATTCAGAATAAACATAAATTGGATCTCATCTGCATCAAAAAGAATGTGTTTTTTCATTGTTTCTCCTTTTGTCATATCCCCATGAAGTGAATCATTTTGGGTGATGCTCACCTCGTCAGTCTGAAGGTTGAAGCAGTCAGGGCGTGTTCAAAGAGTTGTGCCTGGAATCCGGCATACTCCAAAATGTTTGGTTTAATATTGACGAACGGATTTTTGAGGCAACCTATTTCCTAGCAAACCCAAATCCACTAAAACCTACTCACAGAACTTGTTCCAGAGTCGAGCTACAAATCTATGCCTTGTTCCACGTTGTGCAAACACCCCGGCCAGGAGTGGGATGATGCTTTTCAGTTCTCATGGTCCATTTTCCAAAGAGCCCCCTCTTCAAGAGAAAAACATGCAAACGCCAGGTATAAGAGATATCATGTCACATCAATTTATGGCAGAAAACATACGTATATATGTGCCATAGTTAAAACATAGTGTATGGTTTGTGATCGTCCATCACATTTCCTGGACTCCAAGAACCATGGCGACATACACCCCTATGAACATTAGGTTGGTGGTTTCAACCCCTCTGAAAAATATTGGTCAGTTGGGATGATTATTCCCAATATATGGAAAATAAACATGTTCCAAACCACCAACCAGACATGGTAAAACAAAAACTAATCCAAAGAACTCGTTTAATTCATGTTAATCCAATCCGGCTTCGGCATTATAAGTCAAAGTTCAACTGGCTATAAGATGCATCAATCACCCATCAACACACATAGAAAAATACAACGGGGAAAAAACATGTAGGTAAACGTTAAGGAACTGGGTTATACCTGTTAGTTTAATGGAATATTCCCACTTATCTAGAGCATTGTATGGCCTAAAAAAATGGATTGCCCTCTGGTAATTTAACATAACTATGGAAAATCACAATTTTTCATGGGAAAATTCACTATAGATGGTGATTTTCCATACTTATGTAACAAATTACCAGAGGGTAGTAGGAAAATGGGATAGACATGGGATACACTTGGATGTAATAGGATACTGTACAATAGGATATAGTATTATATGATGGGGCTTAATGGGGGTATATTCAAATATTATTCTTTTGCTTCAAGCCACGGATCCTCTATTTTTTTTTGGACACCAAGGTTTTGGTGAACTCACTCGTCGCCGCTCAAATGGTCACTGCTTCCAGCAAAGCTTGGTGTCCGAAGGCGGCAAATTCACCCTGCGCCGAGCTGAGGTTAATGATGGTTAATAGTGGTTAATAGTGGTTAATAGTGGGTTAATAGTGGGTTAATAGTGGCTAATAATGGGATGATAATCTGGTGGTGTGGTTGGTGGTTTTGAGCTGCTAACCCCTCTGAAAAATGTGATCTGGAGAGTTGGGATGGATGGAAATTCCCAATATAGGGAAAAATAACAAATGTTCCAAACCACCAACCAGTTGTCCATTTTTGTGGGGATTTTCCTTCATAAACCATCCTTAAAAAACGGGAATTTTCCATGGAAAGCTCCAAATTGCAAGACTGATAAAGCCTGCAAGAATTTGCCGGATGGGACTCAAAATAGCTGGTATAGCTGGATGCTTATTTGCCCAGTCATAATGTGGTAATTTCATAGGTTTTGACCCATTTTGACCCATGTCGAAATTCAAAGACTGACAAGCCCGGCAAAAATTGGGAATCCAAAGGACAAAAAAGGGGGGGTATCATGGGAAATCGTGGGATGACAGGAACATTCACTACCAATATTGATTTGAGTGTATCTGAAAATGATTGTATACCCCCGATATGGAAGCAGTAGCCATGAATTTGGTTGAAAACCGAAATCTTAGATGCTAGAATTAAAAACTAGTTTGCTACTAAATAAATCCCTGTTTATGGCAATCAAATAAACCTTCGTCTAAACTACCCTTACCCAGTTGATTGACCAACATTTTGATGACTTCTCCATTCAACCCCCTTGGTGTTGTGATTTTGTGATGTTGTGACAATTGCTGCAAGAAGCGGCTCCAGCTCGTTAGCTAAGTTGGCTTATAACTATAACAATTAGGATTTAAGATGGATATATCTATAGTTAGATGGAGTTATAAACCAACTTGGCTAGTTGTTGGTTTGATTTGGGTTTTCTGCACCACCAGAACATATACATGTATACATAAATATGTATGTATGAAAAATACATATAAAATCATGCATACATGATATATATATATATATGCTACCTACCCCCTCCCAAAGATCTACCATTTTTAGCTTTTTGTTGATGTCAAAGAGGTAGTATTTGTTGGGAACATTTTGCAAAAACAAAGTACACTATTACTTTCAAAAAAGATGAGCACATATTCAGGTCAGAAAGCACATCGTTTCTTGAAGGAAGCAATCTGTTTTAAATTGCAGCGTTCCTTTCTATGCTTGAAAACAAATCACCTTCATTCATAAACTGCAATTTTCCTTCCAAACAAAGTATGACTTCGTTCAAGAAACAGTACCTCTACAAAAAAATAGAGCATTCCTCTAAACATGCAGTGGTTTCTTTCTGAAGAAGTGCAATCTTCCTTTCAAACTAATATCAAGCCTTCCTTCAATCATACAGTATTTCTTTCAAAACACCAGATTCTAACATGTTGGATATGTCTGTCTTTTTGATGCAACAGAGTAAGAATAATATCTTGATCAGCAATCTTTAATATAAAATGAAGATAGCTTCATTATATATTTTTTATTCATATATATATATTTATTTATTTATAAATAGATGCATACGTACATATGTGTATATATATATGAAAAACATATGAGTATATTACAAAATAATATATTATATATATGGCAATCTGATGCCGAATGTAATACTCGCAGTATATCCCATTTATCAATCACACATCTAATATCATCTAATTAAATCAGTATACCATATCAACTACAGATAAGCCATTATGCTATAATGTCATACAATACCTTTGCATTATGATATTCTACCATGTCTGAGCCAGTTTACACCCATAATCCCATAGTAATTTTGTGGCAAACACATGATTTGAGGAATCATTTTCCTAGGGAAACCATTGGTTTTCCGCATCTATGCTAGCTTACCCCAGGGTACCAGTCCCTATAAATCCCTATAAATCCCTATAAAATCCCTATAAGCCCCTATAAATCCCTGAAAATCATGCTTCCCAATTTCCATCAAAGTTTGGCGGAAAAAAAACAGCCCAGGCTCTCCTTCGAGATGCGTCCGTCGTTGCCTCAGAATTTTTCCGGCTGCACACATGGAGATTTCAGTGGAGGATCTGCAAACACAACTGGATTTGAGTTGCAACACATGTACCCGGCCTGGTAAACATACAAAACCTACGGAAAATCACCATGCCTTTAATGGAAAGCTCACTATTTCAATGGGCCATTTTCAATAGCAAACTGTAACAAATTACCAGAGGGTATATGTAAATTATCTAAGTGATTTCCCCTGCTAAAAATGGGATATTGAAAGTGAAAAGCAAACGCCAAACAAATGAATGGAAGCTGCAATATTTGTGATTTGACCGGCAAGCATTGCAATATCTCGGCCAAACACTCGATTTTGCCCAGTAAAAGTGGGTACTCACCAGAAATCATTCAGTAATTGTATTATCTACGTATACAGCCAGTAGAAAAAGGATGACTTGAGCGGCAAACATGTATCTGCGTCAACATGTTTATTGTCCCAGGGGACCCAACCGTTAAGAATTGTTTTTTCAATTGGGAATTTCTTAAATGGAGGTACCCCCAAATCATCCAAAATTAGACCATTTTAGTATTGAAATCGTTTCGGGGATCCCACATTTTAAGAAACCCGCAATTCTTACTAGTACACCAAGCCATATTTTCCGTACGCAATTCCCCAACTATACAGTACTAAGAGGAAACACTTGTAATTCTTCATGGGAAAACTTCAGACCCAAACACCGAATGTCATCGAATGTCTGCAATCGCCGTCTCTGTAGGTTCTACGGCCAAAATATCCTTTCCATAGCCCAAGAAATCTCAAAAGAATGGGACTGAAAGACGACGTTTCAAAATAGTTTTTTTTAGTGTTCCAGTGATGAAAGTGGGGCATTGTATATCATGGCCAATCTTTGTGTCACAGAAAATTGATGTATGAATATAAATTTAAATGATATATTTAACACAGACAATCACAATTTGCAGCAAGTTGACCCATGAACCTACCATATCGCTACTGTAATAGTAAACGACCCATTTTGCTAGGTCAAATCCCAGAATCTTGGAAATGTGGAAACGCGCAAGTTGCCCAAGGTCTTCTCGGAATAGGGCCACTTAGGAGAAATAACGATGCAATAATGAAAACATGCCCATATTCTATGATGTTTTTCGTTGTATCCAATAAATAAATGTATGTACAAATATGTTTTTATATATACATAAATGATTATAAATGTATGTACATGATATCCATTGCTCTCCGTGTCTTCATATTTTGTTGGCTATGTACCATAAACAACATCCCAAATCTTCAGGAGGTCGCACAAACACACAACAACTTTGCAGCTCAGGGACTCTGATCGCATTGCCTTCGAGCAGTTTGAGCGGGGCTTCACAGTGGCTGGTGGCTGAGCCACTCATCTGAAAAATATACCCTCTGGTAATCCAACGTTGCGATGGGAAAGAAATCCCTCATAAATCCCATAGGATCCATGTATGGTATATATATGCCAACATTTGGGGTATATTGATGGGATCCATGTTACCATATATAGCATACATGGATCCTATGGGTATATGATTTATATTGTATATCATATATTATCCATAGATTCACCATTATTAACCATCATTAACCATAGATTCACCATAGATTCACCATAGATTCACCATATATATATATATACATACATAAAATGGGGAAGTGTCCAGCAAGCCACGTAACTTGATTACCGGTTCGTCAATTCGTCAATTGGGATCTGGAGGGCGGAAATCGAGTACATCATGAGGATCAACAAAGGGTGGATGAACATCTCAGGCAAGATACTCTCTGGTAATTTTTAATGGTTTGTTACAATGGGTTAACAATGGTGAATAATGGGAATAGAATGGGATTATACCCTCTGGTAATTTGTTGCAGTTTGCTATTGAAAATTGCCATTTATAGTTGATTTACCCATTACAAATGGAGATTTTCCACAGGTTTTTCTATGTTTACCAGGCCGGGTAAGTGTCAGGATGGCACCCATTTTCAGGTATAGTCTGGACCCGCGGGCCCAAGTCATCCATTGGTTTCTGAATGTTTCAAACCTCATTCCTGTTTATCTTCATCCTGGTTGACCACGTCCACGTCGGGGCGAACAGATCCATGACGTGTCTGCATTGTTTTGGACTCATCAGAAAAGATAGTAAAGTCATTCATCACAATTTTAGTGGGATTTTACGCACTTCTATCTTCTTGGGGGTGGCTTTAAACGAGGAGATACAGATAAACCATCATTGTCTGCTTGGTGGTTTCAACATCTAACAATTAAGTGGCATCACAGCTCAATACTGACAGATATATATATATATATATATGCATGCATCTGTATATATATATATATATATCACACCATGGCCAAATTGTGACATCCTTCCAACTTCCAAAAACTTACTCTTTATCTGGTTTGCTTATCCCTTGTATAGTAAAACATGTAAAAACATGTAAAAACCAGTAAAAACCTCATCAACCTTGGTTGGTTCAACCACCCTGCATTTTTCTGATCCCAAGATTGACCCAGAAACCAGCAACGGAACCGCGCACCTACGGAAGATCAAGGCCTTCTCAAAGAGAAGCTCCGTAGGGATGCCTTAGCGATGGCTTCACCGACTGTCACGACATGGTGCAGCCGGTGCTGCCCTTATTAAACGATAGGTAGGTTGAGATCCTTACCCATATGATCCATGGTGCTGGTATATTTACCTAGAAAACTGGGTGATTTATGTTGGGCAAATATTGGTGTGCATATACCAGCACCATGGAGCATTTGGGTTAGGGCCCTAACCACGGTTTATTGTTGCCCACAGCCCACAGCCTGGAAAAGATGCAGATTTTAGCAGCAAAACAGCTGGTATCATGAGTGTATACCACTTGTTTCCCATAGAATATGTATACCCTGGAGATCAAAAGACCAACAAAAACAGACTATTCCACCAGGAAAGTGCATGGTCTTTTATAAGGGTTTTTCTTTGGTGTTAAAGAGCACCCTAAAACAACATTTACGACATAATTCCTCTTGTTCCTAAGCCAGAACATGTCGTTCCTGACTGGCAAGATACTTGTCCATTCTATACTTTCATTGTCTCTACTTCCATGAACGTAGCACATTCCGATGGGCTGCTTGCTCCAAGACATGTGCTACAGCTAGCGAAGCAGTTGTCCTGAGATCATTGATATTTCTTGTAGAATTTTGAAGGGCCCGTCTTTCACGCCCAAAAATGGGCGTTCTATACCATCTGATTATTTAACATAGCCATGGATCATGGAAAATCCCTTATAAAATACCAATCCATTGAATCTGATGGTCAAAAAAACGGGTATTTTCAGGGTCTTTCACGCTTTACTCATGGTCACAGTGTCACCTCCATGGCCTTTTTGTTTCTAACTGCTCGTGTTACCAAGGAGATGATGCGGCATGAAACTTACAACAGGATTCATTACCCATAGGATCCATGTATGCTATATATGGTAACATTTACCATCAATATCCATCAATATACCCCAAATGTTAGCATATATACCATACATGGATCCTATGGGTTATGACGTTATGACGTTATGGATTTTGATAGCAACAGTATTGCGATACATTATCTGTCCGGTTGGTGATTGAACCATCCCTCTGAAAAATATATGATCTGGTCAGTTGGGATGGATGGAAATTCCCAATATATGGAAAGTCATAAAAACTATGTTCCATTATTGATTATTATATCCCATTATATCCCATGGAAAAAAACACCAACAAAAATCCCATTAAAAACCATGTTCCAGTCACCACCAACCAGATCACCATCATATTCCCATTGTTGTTGGTTTATAGCCTTTTAACCACAATAACCATCAACCACCAACCAGGATATCCAATATATGGAAAAATCCAGTCACCACCAACCAGCTGTTGAATGGTACAATTATGAATCCCATCGCGACCGCTTTCTGGATTCAAACCTGCGCTCTGCCTGCCTTTTCAGGGGGAATCAGGGCAATACGAAACAAGCAAGCAGCACCAGCAGGACATTTCCAGCACCAAAGGGATACCATCTGGTTATGACTAACAGTTCGCCATGGTATAGATGGCCCTAATCGAAATAGATGGTTTACCTATTAATAGCATGGTGGATCTTTCCATGGCAAACTTGTAAATAACCAGAGGGTAACTTTTTTGGTGTCTTTACATGATCAATCAACCTGTAAATAGAAATTCTTGATTTGTTAAGGCAACACACACAAAGATCAATGGTACCAGCCCAGCCAAGTGTGAACTCCACACAAAGCATTCACTCCTTCTTTGCCATTAACAGTCTTTTCCCCTAGATTAAAACAATAGTCTTGGACCGTCAGCGTATACTATATATATCTATATGTGGCTGAATTGTAGCAATTCGCTAACCTGAAACTATCTGTTATGATATGGGCATTTGGGGATGATCCCCCTTACAATTCCCATCATTCCGGTGACGTCACAATGAGGTCATTATAATGAATTCAAATATACTTATAATTATCGATATATTCATGTCATCCATGTATTCATCCATATGTTTATCCATATATTTATGTCATTATATGTATGTATATACCATCTGGTAAACTAACATACCTATGGAAAACCACCACTTTTTATGGGTAAATCAACTATTTCTATGGCCATTTTCAATAGCAAACTGTTAGTTTCCCAAAGGGTAATAAATGCATATATTTATATCCCAATGCACTGCTTACCTTATGGGATTCAACCCCTGGATGGCGACCACCCATGGATGGTTACATCCTCATAACAAGTTTAGTTGCATATCGCATGAAATATCCTCATGATATCCCCATGTTGGTGAATTGTTTTAAATCCATCATGAATTTACAATGGGAGATTATAATGGGGACGGATATCATGGTTTTATATCATCCCCATCAATAAATTATACCCCACTAATGGATATTATATCACCATGATCCTCATCAACTATATCATCATGATGGATATAATGGGATATAATATCCATGAATCAACTAAATAAAACCATTATGATTAATATTTAATCCACATTAAGTATGGATGATTGTTCATGGTGATAATGAGGGTATAATGAAGCCATGGTTAATTTATGGATTTATGGATTTATGGCTTCATCACTGCACCGTGGTGTCCCTGAGACTCATCGAATGTGGGAAGAACCCGCCAAGAGACGCGAGCTGGCAGATTGCAGGGCCAAGTCCATCGTTGCTCCTGGTGGTCGATCCGTTTATCTAGCAGCTTGGCAGCACAATCTTTGTTACATGGTTAGTTTAGAATTTACAATGCTATTCCAGGAATATATAAATGCAATTGTGCAAATATATATATATAATTATATATTATAACATATTGTACACACGTGACTATATCACGGAAATATACGTGACTCTATTCCCATATACAAACAAACACTACAGGAACCGACAGAATTATGGAAAAAAACACGTTTCAATTTACAGGCGCCGCCTGTCTATGATAGAAAAGTTACGAACCTTTTTTTTTCCATAATTATTTTTTCCATAATTATTTTTTTTCCATAATTCTGTCGGTGACTGTATGTCCATCGATTCGCAATTTGAATGTATTTTAAGGGGGAATATTGAATTATAGAAAATATGTGTCTAAAGATCTGGTATATACCCCTAAGTCTTCCATTGATTGGGTTGATACTACATACTTGCATTTGCATACATATTTCCATAACCCCCAAAAAAAAGGGGTTTGAATTGTGGATCCATGACATGTCCAACAGGTGGAGCCCCAAACATTAATTATGGAAAGAATAATTATGGAAAAAATAATTATGGAAAAAATAATTATGGAAAAACCGGTCAATCTGCCCTAGCCCCCTGATTTTACAGGAAAAATCAATTATGGAAATAATGGCCACCTCCAAGAATTATGGAAAAAAAAAGGTTCGGATCACTTCCGGGATATTTTGAACCCTTATGGGGAAAAACCTAATTATGGAAAAATCGGACGCAGGTGCCGCCTGTCTAAGTTGAACGTTTTTTTTTTCCATAATTCTGTCGGTGACCATATACACACCTACAAGGAACCCAAAAATAGAAAAACATATTTCCTTCATCGATTCCACAAGTAGTGGATTTCCCATTGGGAAAATAACACCTCAATTTGTTTACCAATACTGTATACCCTCCAGTAAATTCCCATAGACCCTGGCAGATGGGGGTGGAAAATTAGTTTCCAAATGTTTCCAGTAAGAATATCCAAAGGTCAGGGATTAGTTTTCCATCAATTTAACATAGACTTTTGGGTAATTTGACATAGGCCCTTTGGAAAAACGTCAACAATCCATGTGATTACCGGAAGGATATCCCATTATTCAACCTCTTAAACCATACAAAACAGTAAAAAACCATGGAATATTCGGGGATTGCTTTAAAATTGGCTATCCCCAATTTGATCTCCCTGAGATCACCGAGATCAAATGTCACAGCAAGGTCCAGTCCTTCGGCCAGGCCGGTATCTTGAATCATGGCAGCATAGACCTGCCAGGTGGAAAACGTGGGATGCAATGTGGGGAAACGAACCGTGGTTGAGATCAGTCGGTTTACAATATGGTTTGTGGAAAATTTATAGCCAAATGGGTGAAACTAAACCAACTTTGAACTGGAGAGAGGGCATTTCAAGGGTTTCTGAAACCATTGAAACAGCAACATCTAAAGAAAACATACAACTTATTATAAGATCTTTTAAGCCCGCATGTGTATCCCCCGCACAAAACATGGTTGCTTTATACCAGGGCTTTCGAAAGATAAACATGAATCAAGACCCAACTCAACCACCTTTACTCCAAAAAAGTTGCGGGGCTAAACCCGCAGGGCAATTGAGAACCTCAACGGAAACCTTGTTGTGGGAATGCACATGTTGACGGCCTATGTCTAGTTTTCAACCTTTCCATTTGGCTCAGACCCACGTGTGATTCTGCCGCCAGAGCCAAGTTCCCACCTCATGGATGATTGTCATCCCAATACAAAGAGGGTAAAGTATTTTCCCGGCAAGAGACCACAAACAGAGTGGGGGGAGTAAAAAAAAAACATGTATTAAAGTGTTGATGACGATGTTAATGTTGATGATGATGTTCATGATGATGTTAATGTTGATGATGATGTTGATGATAAAGATGATATTGAAGATGGTCGTGATGATGTTAATGTTGATGATGGCGATGATGATGATGATGATGATGATGATGATGGTGGTGGTGAGGATGATTGTGATGAGAGGAAGACAATGATGTGGATGTTGAGGAGGAGGAGGAGAAGAGGATGAAATTGAGGAGGGTGGCGTTGAGGAGGAAGACCGATCTCAAGACCGGGAAGCACACTTTGTGCGAGCCTGCGCAGTTGAAATGCACATGGACAGGTCACAAGAATACAAGAGGCATTTTGTGGAAATTTAGGGGGAAAATGCCGTACACGTATCCCGCGGCAAGCATTTTGTGCGAGCCTGCGCAGTCGAAATGCACATGGACACGTCACAAGAGGCATTTTGTGTAGTAGAAATTTACAGGGAAAATGCCGGACGCTTCCGATACCACCTCAATTGAACACCGGGCCTTAACTGTTACCGTAAGAACCCCTCAGCGTGGCCACACTGTTTGGGGAGAAAAAGGGTATAGTAAAATCCCCGAAGAAATCATCAACCGACCATCATTTATCAATGATGTCCCCATATTGTAAATGGGTAAATTATAGATGTGTCTGGGTAAATCATACCAAGTCACTGACATGAAAAGTTCGGCGCACACGCTTGCGCCCACAGCCTTCCCCCCGCAGCTGCAAGAGAAGACTGCGTCCATAGTCAATGAGGGACCAGGCGAAGGGTCCTATCATGAACTAAAACCATCTCTAATCCCATCCACACAGTCCTTGATGTTAAACACTGGCGATCAACAGAGGCTTGATGGACCCACCACCTCGGTTCCTAGCAATGCTACAGATAAAGGCCAGTACTACTAAGGAGGTTATCCCACTCCCCCTGTGATGTTCACAGGTCATCGCAGTTTGTTGGCTAGCTAAAATACCCATCGTTTTGACAGATTTAATCGTCGTCGGCAGCAAGTTCCAGATTGGTGTTCTCGTCCTTCATCTGCTGTCTGCGTTCTCTGTACAGTTTTTGGCGATCTTTCTGAGTAAATTCAGAAGTCTCATCCAAGTCAGTTGTAACAACCGGATCCATTAACGGAATGTGAGGCATAGCCGTGAAGCAGGCCTTACCATTTTGGCCATGCTCCCTGAAGTATTTTTGCAAGATTTCCAAAGTTTCATCTTGTAGTGGAAGTTTTGGACGCAATGGTAGCCCTTGTTTCAGCACCTTTGCCCCCAGTTGAGAAAGTGATTTGACCTTTACAGGTGTAAGCTTAGGAATGATTTCTTTATTGACGAGGAACTGCACATGCATAATGATATTGCGAAAGGTGTTGGTTCGAATAGTAAATCCCTGTTCTTCTTGATGAGGTTGTACCGGAACTGAAGATTGTGAACAAAGCATGAGATTTACGGTCAGCTCAACCCATGTAATCCCAATTGGTGGTGTAACTTCCTCCGGTGATGTAGGCCATTCTAGTTGTTGAAGCCATTGTAAAAGCAAATGCGTAGTGCGTCTCCCAAATTTACTGCTGCGCGCATTGTGAAAATCCTCTTCTGTGAAAGAAAACTTACGGCTGTGCTCAACGATATAGCTGTGCATCTGCTCCAGGCGTTCCATCTGTCTTTCAGGTGCTTTTGTAGTTTCAATTTCATTATCCAGTCGCGTGCGTTTAACAACCAGATCTACTCTTAAAGCATACTGTGCAGTAAGGTTTTGTTGTTCTGTCCTAGATTCAGCATGTAGTCTGCGCAAGTCCTTTGTCACAATCGTCATTTGGTGCTTGGCTGCTTGTTTGGCGGCTTCATCAGCTGCGCGATTTCCCAAGATATGGATTACTTCATCTGCAGTTTGAGTGGTGATATTCTGATGAGCTTTGATCTTGAGGTGCGGCAATGCGTAATCACATCTCCAATACAAGTGGTGAAGTCTTCTCAGTAAGTCCCAGTTGGGCAGTTTATGCAGAATCATAACATTACGCGTTTGACAAACCAGTGAATGCATATTGATGACATAGGCACTGTCAGTAACCACAACCGCGTTCATTTGTTGTTCATGCGTCAGAACGGCTGCAAATAGTTCTGCTCGATTGATTGTCTGCTTACCTGGAACTATTGAAACTGCGATTACATGATATGCTTTCCTGAGCAGAACCTCAGGTTGAGTCTGGGTCAACTGCAGTAGGGCTTGCATTGGCACTGCTGGACACACGATTGCAAAAGCAGACCATCTATATCTTCGGCTGTTAGGTAAATAGCAAGAACCATCTGTGTACACCCAAGTTAGTTTGGGGGCATTTGGCATCTCAAGGTGTGGCTCAGGAATGCGATAGAGCATATCTTGCAAAAACTGGTCTTCCGGTGATTTATAAGCTAATGGAAAGGCAAGTTGCATGTCTTCAGCTTCTTCCAATTGCTGGCAAATAGAAGAATGTTGAACCCTGGCTTCTTGGGTGGCTTTGCAATGGAGAACTCTGTGTCTGTGTGAGTCCATCTCTTCACAATAATTGCACTTACCATCAACTTGATCTGCAAAATGGGCCTTTTGAGAATTGAGCATAAACCCTCCCGTTGATTCGAGACCCATGCTGAGCTTAAATTTTTCAGGGACCGTGGCAAAAGCTGCAATAGTGGCTTCACGATCAATAGGAGGCATATTTCGCATGTGCTTTCGGCCACCAGTGACTTCAACGACAATTTCCATCCAGGCATCTGTGGCAGCATCCAATATTTCATTGAGGTTGCTATCAATGAGGTTCAATACTGTAAAAGCAGTTATACGTATGTTTCCCGTTTCCTCCAAGGTCCAGTTGAGTTTCGTTATATACTGCTTAAAGGCCATGGCCGGGCCCGCAATAGTGGCTGCATGTGGCAGTGGCTGACGGACCAAAAGCCAAAACATTTCTTTCTCATCGTCTGTGGCATGGCATAGAAAATGTCTGGCTGTGCGAATGGATGCATGTATCACGTACAATTCTGGGTCCATTCCACTTTTCAGCAAGGCCATGGCTGCAACATGTGACTGAATGTTGTGGTAATTGCCAAAAATTGCATGAGCAAACTCAGCGCGCAATTCTTCAAAGAAACGTTGTCCTGAAAGATAGAAGGAAGTACCCCACAGGGCTTTAGCAAATGCAGAAGCGGTTGCAATCTGCGCTTTGGCTTCAAGAGGGATATCAACATGTCTGAGCTTTTTAAGTGCAGTCAACGCTTTGGCGATTTTGGCATGGTTACCCTGTAAATTTCCCATCATTCCAGGGTTCGGGAGAACAGTGAGGTCCTTCTAATTTACCCAGATTAATTGCCAGTCCATGAATCATCCCATTCATTATTAATACTTTAGCTGCTGTCTGGCAGATGCGTTCAAGTGGGAGCATGTTGTGCACCAATCGCATCAAATCTTGCACAACTCGAAAAACACGAGGCTCCCGATTGGCATCGGGTGTGTTGCTGTTTCGACGTGCTCTTCTTGATCTGTCACCTCTGGTGATTTCATATGGCGTGTCCGCAGCGATCTGACGCTGCTCAGAAGTCACGTGCTGAGGTCGGCGCGGCCCTTGTGGCCGTGAAAAAAACCAGGCTGCCTCGGTTCCACGCGAAAGTGGTGCTGCAAGTCGTTCAGACTCTGCTTCATCATGGAATCCTGCCAGTGACCTAAATTCAAGCCGGACAAGATAGCTCCTACCGCTTCACGAAAAACCTCACTCCATGAGTCTTGTACAATTCTGTCCCAACAAATCGTGGCAATGAGTCACTATTAATCATTATGAGTCACTATCAATCACTATAATGGCTAGTTATCTATGAACCCACATTGATCAACGAAGCATCACTTATTGTATTTATCAATATGACCCATGTTGCTAATAGTTAAAATTTCTTAAAACCACCCTCAATGATGGTTAAATCACCATGTTCCGATAGTTTTCCTATGGTTTACCACCATTTTCCTATGTTTTTTTTTAGGGAGTTACCATTAAATCACCATTTTCCGATGCTTTCCTATAGTTTCCATTGACCATATGGTCACCAACGACCGCGAGGTGTTGGTAACTCCACCTCCTTGATGAGCAACATGATCTCGCCCAGACGAAAGACGCAGTCCTGACGGAGCCAAGGGATGCCAAAGGATTGATTAAAGCAAGAAATAACCAGCTTCAAATCGAAAAAACAATGGAGATTTATAGAGATATCATAGGGATATCATAGAGACATCATAGGGATATCATAGAGATATCATAGGACTATCATAGAGATATCATAGGGATTTATGAGGATTTTTCTGGGAATTATAGGGGTCTCTGAAGATATGTTAGGATTTAATTGGGATTTGACCTTGAAATCAGGTGCCCCTTTGCGGTTCCCATATCTGCCTCCTGGTGCATCCCAGGAATCGTAATCCCATAATTTTGGCCAATCTATATCTGGGATACACATGACATGGTTTTCAAGATTGTTATTATATGCGGTGTTCAAGATGTGTTATTGTAACACATTCAATGAAAACCCACTGAATTCCAATCTGATTATTGGATGTTATTGGGTTATTAATACCACTAACTAACTAGCTATATTAATGTGGTATTGTATATACATGATTACTGATTACATATAACAGTTCCAATATGGGAAGACCTCTGGATACTTAATAGATTCTTAATAGTATATTTTCCGACATAAATTCGAAATTTTCCTGATTGTAACATGGTAACTACCTGTACCGTATAACCTGGGATGCACATCCATTCCACCAGGGGTTTCGTAGTTTCACCATGTTTCACCCCCCCACATGTGCTCGTCATCTCAACCAATCATCCATATGGTTGACATACATACAAGGTGGTGCCCCCGTTCGATAGCTAAGTTGGTGCTTAGCTAACTCCAAAAACTATGGTTTATAGGTGATATATCCATAGTTCATGGGTTTATAACCAATTTATAACTCGGGGGGGCACCATTTTGTATAGAACATCTTTGAATCACCAGTGAAATATCATTTTCTGTTTAAATCGATGCAAAATCCTCTTGATTCGTGTCAGGTGTGAACACTGAGGGGGGTGCTGAAATCATAAGCCCATCAATAAAGAGAGTCTGATCTGGGTTCCAAAGCAATGAACGTTGGTGTTTTGGCAGGGTTCATGTTTCGATTCACGATTTGTATTCACAAAAGAATACAAACATGAACCCAACCCAACTCCAAGGACCCTTGTATCATCTTGTATCATAATATTGTATGGTTGATTGGTCCAAGGCGGGGTTTGTCGGGTTTATACTATTTAATTTGATGGGGAAAGACGCCCTAGTTTCTTTTGACTATTTATGCTGGCGAAATCCCAAGTAATCCTCCAATTTTCGGATGGTACCCTATCCATTTTCAAGAAAATCAACCTAATGATCTTGAGTCTTATCCAAAATCTATCCAACTAGATTCTAAGGTATTTTCAAATTATTCACCCAACTTTCTATGATCTATGATACCTTATCCTAATGATCAAAATTGTGTTCACCCAGCTTATCCAATTTTCCCCAGATCCAGAGTTTAGGGCTGGTCCTTGTCGGTGTCATAGAGGTGAAAAGTCACAGCCAAGGCACCTCAAATTCAGAAATTTGGTGCATTGAAAAAAGGATGTATTTGGCACAAAACAAGATTTGACCAACAAAGACTATTATTGAATTGTGGTATTTAACACTAACAATTAAGCCAGTGCCAGGGCATTTGGGTATTTCATTTGCATTTGGTGCTTTCACTATGGCCCTGGCATGCCAAAAGCTCCTATTATTACGGTGCTACTTAAGGCCATCAGGAAGTTATCAGCCATATGGAAAGTTCCAGCCGAGATGCCCTTGCAAATACCAGACAGGGTCTTCATTTCAAGTGGTGCAAGTATTTAATGCCATCAGAGGTTAAAGTGACGTATGGAAAGCTCTATGCAAGGATTCTGCAAAAGATCTCTACAATGGATTTGCTCTATGCAAGGACTCTGGTTAAAAAAAAACCTCTACCATGGATTGGATGGTTAGATGGCAAGCTTTGTGCAAGGACCATTTCTACCATGGATGGTAAGCTCTATGCAAGGACTCTGCAAAAGATCTCTACAATGGATTTGCTCTATGCAAGTCACGCCAGTTCTGCAAGAGGTGCTCCGCGTAATGCCATCAGAGGTTATCAGCCGTATGGAAAGTCCTAGCCAAGATGCCCTTGACTTGCCATCAAGGTGCAGTTATCATTTTTTTTTACTAAGGTTGACTACTACCATTTAGACATTAAATATCTTGAGCCTATAGGAACATTATATATTATATATAATTATATATTATTATATAATTATATATTATATATATATATATTATATATTATATATTATATATTATATATTAGTTCTGCCTCATGATTTCTGTCACCTGTCACCTGTCATATAGCCTCGTGATTTCAATCTCTGTCACCTGTCAAGTATCCGTTCCCTGTCCCCTGAGCTGTCAATTTCCCGTAGACGATTTTTTTCGTTTTCGCAGAAGACTGTGACAGAAGACTGTGACACCCAAGGTTTGCACCTGAGAACAAGCAAGGCGCAAAAAAATCCACTAGACAGGAGACAGTTAGCTGAGAAGAAGACTGTCAGATGTAGCCCGAAACCTGCGCAAGAAAATGGTTCATCATCGAAGAAACAAAAAACAACATGACACTAGGAGCTGTGAGGTTTACAGCAACTTTATTTCCAACTAGGAGCTCCAAGAAAATGCTGCTGCAGCTTTACACTTTGTTTCCAGCAACTCACTGCAAGTCTTGCTCCACTTCAATGCCATTCTCTCGCATGACGACACATTCTGCATCATCTTCGACATCTGCTGCATCATGATGTGAACCATCTGTTTGAACAATGCGGATTGGTCGCGGAGCGGTCTGCCGAAAAGGGTTCAGGGTGACAGGGACAGGTGACTGTGACTGATATGCACTTTGCTGCAAAAATGAATACTGCGCAGGATGCGGTTCTCGTCTCAATGTCCCAGTGATCCATCCAGTCAAGAAGGCGTGGGCCTTCTGGCTGATAGCTTGCCTCAGTCAACTGTCAGTTCTCTCTAAAAAAATCTGTCAACTGTCAACTGTCAACTGTCAGTTATTCTTTTTGTGACAAAGAAAAAAAACTGGACAAAACAAGTTCAAGATGCTTTGCAAATGCAGCATCTGCCTTCACTTTCACTTCATTGCGAATCTTCCAAGCTACATGCCTCCGAGGGTGCTCTCCAGAAGGCTGCCATGTGAGCCGTGAAATAAGCCCTGGCAAGGACTCTGCTCGGATTGCCACCTCTGCTTGAAAGGGCTTTGGTGAAGACTCAAACATATGACATAACAGCAGAATGTCTTCTGGATGGCCTGGGGCAAATTCATATTGAAGGCTGTCTAAGTCTTTCATTGACAGCATTTTTCGCTTCAAGATCCTGAAGAGGTGTGGAGCCTTGGGGCCTGTCAGGCCAGTCAGGGTGACTGGTATCTCTTCCAGCCACTTGTCCCACTCTGGGCTTGAATCGTGCTTCCATGCTTTCCGGAAGTAGCAAGATGTTTCCAATGAAGCATCATCCAAAAAACGTTGATAAACCTCGACCAATTCCTGGGCCGTCTCAAAAGTTTCATGACTGCATCTTGTCACTGCCTGGCCACCCACTGCGTCCAAGCATGTGTGGGTGTGGCCTTTTATCGGGAAACCGATATTGCAAGTGTCAATGACACCCAGTGCAGTCAATTTCAACCAGAAGCGAAGCATCTTTGAGTTTTTGTTGTCCCGAGCGGTGTTGTCTAACAACAGAAATACCTGTCGGGGTATCCCTGTGATGTCATGCACCCAAGACAAACACCTCGCCAGTGCATCCACATGGTTGCAGGTGTCTTTGCAAACATCGGGGTCTCCCACTGACAGGCTGAAGCCATGACCATGAACCCAAATAAGTTGTACATGGCAAGCTGGGCGAATAACTTCATCAAACGTTTTGGACTTGACATGAGCCCTGGGAACTTTATGTTTGGCTTGGTCCAAGCCGTCTGACCTGATGACAAGGACAGATGACGGATGACTTCGAACATTGGATGAGACACTCAATGCTCTTGTTTCAAAAGCCAATGCTGTCCATGCACTGTCAGCAGCTCTGTCACGCCAGTTCTGCAAGAGGTGCTCCGCGTATTCCTGGATGAGTCTGTTCCGCAAATGAAGGGCCTTCACCCTTTTCAGCTCACGTTTGAACCAAGTGCATTGGTCACAAACTGCATGTTGCCCTGAAGATTTTCGAAAAGCCAAAAATTGTTTGGATCCTTGAAGCGCACGTCGGAAAGTGGTAAAAGATGGTGCTTTCTTTCCGGCATAATTCTCCTTGTGCCACCGTAACATCATCTCAAACAAGATCTGGGGCTTCACCACGCCAAGCCATCTGCGCGGGGCTGCTCCAGCTCCTGGGCCTGTCAGTGAATTGTTGAAAGGGGTGTCTGTGAGTAGCTGCCTGAGAGACAAAGTTGCCAGCTTCCGTGCATCCTGCTCATCCCATTGAGCCTGTGACATGCTTGAAGCTGAATCGGAACTACTTTCTGCAGGTGCAGGTTTGTTGTCCGTCACTGATGTGAGAAGAAATGGTCCTCTTTGCAATGATGGCACCTCCTCAAAATGGAATCTGTCTGGCAAGCTCTCACCATCATGGTGATATCGCAGCTGAAGAAATCGCATACATGTATCCAGCTGCTCGTGGTGAGGTGCTTGAGGAAGCCTGTTTCCTTTCAATCTTTGATCCGCATGGCCTCCAAGAACCTCAGTGTCAAGTTGCTCCCCAATGGTAGTTTTCAACAAACCACCACAGTCACATCCAAAGCAAAAAAACAAAACATAAGCAAACAAACCAGAGAAACTCTAGCATAGCGGCCGGAACCGATTCCCAGCAAGAATTTTGCAGTGCCCACGCAAACAAAACAGCTCTCCTCGCACAAGATTCCCTGAAGTTGGACTGACAAGGTCTTGCTTTTTGTCTTGCGTGCAGTGTACTTCCGCTTATTTCCAGATGCACAAGCAGGGCCTGATTGGCTCAGAGAATTCGGAACATCTGTATCATCGCATGTCAAATTCAAAACTTCCTGGTCGCTCCCAGAAGTAGACGTGCTGATCACTTGCTGCAGCTCATTTGGAGATTGCTCTGTAGATGCTGATGCACTGTCAGATGGCTGCCTGGATCTCAGCACTGGTTCCACTGCTTTTTGATCTGGGCGGCCCCGACCAAAAATCCACAGCAGCTCACGATCTTGGACATCAGAGCTGAGACTTTGAAATTCTCGTCGCCAATCACATAACTTCAAACGAAATGATTTGACCCTTTCCAAACAGTCCTGGCCACATGACAGGCAGCCTTTGCCAAGCTCGATTGCCTTTTCCAATTTCTGGTGAAATGTCAACAGGAAACTCTGCTGGGAACTGGCTGCCTTGTCCGCTAGGCTGTGCTGGACAAGGCGCACAGGTTTTGTTCTGGGTTTTGCCTTTGCCCTTGGCTTTGCTTCAACATCTAGAATCTGCTGAATGTTGCCTCCAGCATCACTGTTCTCAGTTGAAGTCGAGCTACTGACCATGTCATGGCAGGTTGCAGGCTTACCAAATCTATTGTCCTTTTTAGATTCCAAACTTCCTAGTTCAACATGTGTCCTCTGACTGTCGCCTGTCAATACCTTGCTGTCCCTACCACCTGTCACAACCTGTCACAAAGAACTCTTCATGGTGTTATCTAAGCCGTAAAAGCTCCCAGGAAAAACATCAATGAACAACAGTTGGCCCACTGTTCTCCAATCGAAGCATTGTGAAAGAGGTGACAAAAAAGTTTGTGTCCATCATTTTTCCCCACGGCCCTCAGGTCTAGCTGTTATGTTAGTAATGCAACAGGATGCTGAGCAAAATGCTCGCAAATACATTTGCGGTGAACGCATTGCCAGCTAAATCCTGGGCATGCTTGAATGGAACACCATCGTCCAGACCGCACATCTTAAGCTCTTCTATTGAGAGCCCCTGCAGCAGGAACGGCAAGACAGGAGACTTGTTCACAGTCGCCATGTTCCCCTTCAAGTATAAATATTTTTTGCTTGGCAAAACGCAGGGGTGCACTTGTGAACGAAATTTCGTAAATTGTAAGCTGTCGCCAACTGGGGCGACCAGCAGCTTCCCAAGGGAGTTCTTCTTTCCCATCAGTGCAAGAGCCAAAACACTGGCATCAATTTCACGCTCTGTCAATCCAATGCCACTGCCTTGTTCCTTGATGACACTGGAGAATGGATGCTGCAAGTCGGACGGGCTCAGGTCATGCTGCTTGACAAAGTTGGAGTGATAGGCTCTCCATTTCCTTGGAAACTGTTAAACCTAGAACCCCTTGACGCATCACTGCATCACTACATCACCCCTTGACAGCAGACACCACCAATCAAAACCTTAGAAAAGGTCACCAAATTTTGATGTTTAAGACTCTCTTTCTTCTGTGTGTTTTTGCTTGGCTCCTTCAGGTTGCAACTGGTGCTGTGCAGGTCCTCTATGCCTGCATTCAAGCCCTTGCTCAAAATCCGCTCCAAAGATTCCGGAGGC